GGGGGGGCATATACACAGCAGAGTTGAGGACTGCCACTAACACACACAGAGACACAAACATTTCAGTAAGTAATTTGATTGTGACTACAACTCATCCGACCTCTCCATAAACTTGTGGAAATCTTTCTGTGGGGGCTTGGGCAGCAGGCTCTGGCAGAAGCTTAGCGAGTCCTCCTCCGAGCCAAAGCCGTTGTAGGGGGGCAAATGCCTTGGGGGCTTAGGGGCTGGGGGAACTTTGTACACCACTGGGGTGAAGTCCTCTGAACGGAGGAAGGGGAAATAAAAGACAAAACACTTAAAAGAAGAAAGGAACGCAGGAGGAGAGCTGAAATGATCAGAGGGCAGCGGGTAATCCATCCATGCAGGAGCACAGCAGCCTGGGTCTGACTGTAACCCTGAGCTGAACTCTGACTTCTCAGAGTCAGACAGGACCCTCCATCACAGTGGCCTGTCACTGGGGGCTCTGCCTGGTTTACTACCGTGGCTAATGCAGCAAGCCCCAATTATAACATTATATGGGGCTGCCGCGTAAGCTCAGTTTTTAAAGAAGAAATCGGAACATTTCAGTCGTAGTGAGTATACAGATACAAATACTTCATCCTCTGAACAAGAGTCTGCCATCAGTCTCAGGAATCAATGTTGTAGGAAGGTGATAGCTCTTGCTGGTGCTTGCTCTTACTGCCCCTGAGTGTTCAGATGGATGTACTGCAGGCATGAGCAACCAATAACTGAAGATTAAATCCTTTCAAATGTATGACGAGTGTAAATGTACATGTTATTCAGTTTGTTACATAAGATCAGGTTCTTGTTGCACAGACAAAACCCGTTACTCTAAATCAATCTATCCTATTTGATTAATAATTTAGTCTATGAAACATCAAAGACCCTTTAAACTAGTGTTTTAAAGGTGCCTATTTCACCTGAAGAAACAGTTCACACGTTTGAAGCACTACAGCAAACAAACAAACACTTCTATTGGTTACCTATGCCGTATTTGGAGCGGTAGTAGTCTTTGGTGAAGTTGTCACAGTCAGTGAGGATCACTCTCCTGCCCCATACATTCACTTCTCCACCCAAAGTCAGATCACAGTCCTTATAAAACTCATCATGGACAGCTCCAATCTGCAGGGGGGGGGGGGGGAGAGAGAGAGAGAGAGAAAGAGAAAGGATGAAGGGGAGAATGAGATGACAGAACGACCACAAATGAGACATTACTCACATTACTTTATGGATTCATAAATCCATAAAGTAATGTCCATTCATTCAGGACATACTTTGAGGTTGTCCAGTATGTAGCGTTGCTCCTGACTCGTGGGGGCGATCACATTGAGCACTGTGCGGTCCGTGATCTGTCCAGGCTGCCTCATTTGGACCGAATGCTACAGAGAAATAACAAACAACCACATGCAGAAACTGTTGTTACACAAAACACACTGTACAGTACAAGATCTTCATGCACACATCTGAGGAGAGAGATAGAGAGACCAAGAGAGAGAGAGAACGAAGGGGCGTGGGGGGGGCAGTCTAATAGAATTAAGAGAAAGAGTAAAGAAGGGATCTGTCTTTAAGGATGTGGTGGAATCCCATTGGATGGAGGATTCTGGCCAACCTTTAGGGCTGACATTTAATAAAAGGCATCAGAACAAACAAAATTACTGGACTGAAAACACTCACAGACACACACAGACACACAGACACACACAGACACACACACACACACATGATTGAGGCCTGGCTGTCTTTCAAGTTGAATTAGGCTTCAGTCAGTAACTGGAGGAGAAAGCCAAAATGCTTGAGGGAGACTGGATGCTGCAGCCGTCCTGTCAGACTCAATGAGGCCTGGGTGAAGGGAGGGGTGGTGGGAGGAAGATGAAAAGAAGCCACCCAACCAGAAAGAGAGTCACTGCAAGCCTTTCGCTTTGGAATAACTATCTACACGTAAAACGTGCAAATGGACATGGAAAATGAGCACACTAAATGCACGAGACAAGCTGTGAAACACATTCTGCTACATTCATGTATTCCCTAAATGTTCCTTACCACCCTTGAGAATTCATCAATTTCTCTGACGTTTCCTGTCAAGCATGTTTCTCTCTATATTATAGAAAATTCAGCAATTTCCATTACGCTGTAGGATCTGTGTATTTTCTTTATTCCTCTGACAACAAACGTAGTCCTCGTCTACTCTCCCACGGCCCAGAGACTTCGACACACCTGATGAACTTATAGTATCGTGGTGCCTCACCTTGGGTAGTTTGCCGCGGCGTAGGAACTTGGGCACAGTATCCCTCCCAGAGTTTGAGGGAATGATCTCCAGGATCTCTACGGTGTCATCACCCAGGTAGTAGTGCAGAATGAGCTCCCGCGGGTCCCCGAGCATATTCTCTGTTTCGTCCCACAAGCAGTTGAAGCGCAGGACTTTGTGGTCGTGCTCCAGGAACTGCTTCAGTGTGTCACGCCTCTCGTACGGCCGAAGTGGCTTCATATTTTTCTCAATCTGGACGAGGGACCATGTGGTAAAAATAATCAACACATAAGTAACTCCCCTCTATGCAATACTGGATTCTATCATTGCTATTTTTATAAATCTCTTCATCCTCTAAAGACGACACAAAACCTGATTCCTACCTCTTCCCGGTGTTTGCTGTAGGGGTCATCAGGTAGAGTGGCGGGGTTATTTAGGCGCACCCCAAGTTTTGTGAGAAAGTTCCTCGTAAAAGAGTCACAGTTGGTCACGGTGAATGTGCGTGAGTACAGCACCATCTGTTGGTTGATGTTGAAATGGTAAATGTGGTAGAACTGGTCATCATTTGGGGGAGGCAGCGGGACACGTTGGCGACGAATAAGTATTCCTACCACAGGGAACAACGACACAGCAATGGTAAGGGACAGGTATTAAATTACACAGTGATGTGCATTGGCTTGTTTGACTTGTGTAATGGATCATTTGGCCAATTGGGAGTCTTGAATGCATAAAAACAAACATTTTCATTTGAGCTACATTGACTAGACCTTTCCTGTGATATCACACACACCTTGAGGGATGCCACTGTTCTTGTACTCTGGCTCCACCACCTGAACGGTATCATCTTCCAGGTGGAAGTAGATCTTACACTTCCTGATCCTGTACGTCTCATGTTGTGCCTCAGGCACAGCTTCCTGGAAGAATGCTTCAAAACACAGAACCTGGAGGAGCGAAAGGGCATTTTGTCAGAGAGATTCATCAAATTATAACTCTTAAGTCATTGATTTTTCAAGATTTCTTTAACGATGTAACAGAAATATGCAAATGTGAATTCAAGTGAAGCATTGGTGCTTCAAACTAAACTCATCAATACTATAATCCAATAGAAGTGTTGTACTAAGAGAACATTAGCTGTGCTGTTTGCAACATATTCACTGTTAAAGCCACTGCTGAAGTTGTTTAAATTAGACATCCATATAACCAGTACTCCATTCAACTGTTAGGGACAGAAATATATGTGTGTGTGTGTGTGTGTGTATAACCAGGAAGGTAAAACTGATCAATTCACCTGTTTGTCGAAGGCTACCCATGATGGTATATCCCTGCCCTGTCCTTTGGGGTAGACAGAATACTTTGGTTTAATCCTCTGGCCAACCAACAGCTCTCCTCCAATGCCTGGCTTCTCAAATCCCACCAGCATAGGTAATCCATTGGAATACTCAAACTGTTGGGATTTGTGGAATCTCTGCTTCCCCAGCTGTCGTACAGAAAAGAGAAAAGTGTCTCTACTCAGCTGTCAACCTTAAAGGAATGATCGCTTTCTATGAAAAACGTACTGTAATATGGGCTTACTATGGTATACAATCATTACATCAACTAATGACTTGATGCATTTATAATTAACTGACCTATGAACAGGTCAAGTGCACACAACGCAGGCATTTATGTAGAGCTAAAGGCTGCCTAGAATAAAGTGTGTTTGCATAATACTAGGAACATAACCTGGAAATTACACTTCTGATATTACATTCAGTAGCGGTATATTATTATCAAGCTCAAGTGCTTGAGAATGCTCAACTCCACTACAGCCAAGTCTCTGATTACTAAATATTTATTGGTTTACTAGTTCTTCAATGTGGAAAGCAACAAGTAACGTCAACTATAACTGTCAAAGAAATGCAGTAGAGTAGAAAGTTTCCCTCTGAACTGAAGCGGAGTAGAAATATAAAGTAGCATAAAGGGAAATACTCAAGTGAAGTAACGTTACAAGTAACGCCATGTCAAAATTGTACTTAAGTAACGTTACAATACTCGCTACTTAACAGTTTACACAAGGTGAAGAAACCTCTTTATGTAACGGGGACGTTTGTGACTTCAACTCATATCTGACATTATTTTTGTTGTATCAGTTACATACACAACCCTACATTAAGGCAGATGGTTTAGTGTATTTATTTATTTATTTTGCACAATTCAAAGAATAAAATAAAAATAAACAAACAAAACAGAGATAAATTAATATCACAGTGCAGGAAGAGAACATAAAATGAATATGCATAAGATATGACTACGAAAAATATATTGACAAGACGTCTTACAAGATATGAAATATGATAAGCAGTAATGCTACAAGTCCCTATGAGTGAAACAACTATAAATATAATATAACACCTAAAACAAGGAAGACATGAACAATAATACATAAAAAAGTAATTACAAAACAGCAATTAGATTTTCTTTTTGGCACCTTTTGAAACATTTTATAGAGGAACATTTTTTTGTTAGGTGGGAAAGGTAATTCCACAATTTGGTTCCCCTAAATCTTATTGAAAATTGTCCTTTACTGTAATTTAGGAGGATGAAGATGTGAAGATGAGGAGTTGAGTAAGAGTGAACCTGTGAACTGACTTTAGGTTTAGAAGCGATCAGGAATATTCCCTTCACCTGAAAGAACCTTATAAATAAAAACACCAATTTGAGAAACATTGATGTCATAAATAGTAACAAATAGAAAATTAAACTGCTGAATGCACAATTAGCCTGCTTCCTATCCGCAACGTTGGCTAGCTGACATTGTAGCTAACTTCAGCTAACTGAAGGAAAGCAGTAAAGCAGAGACCTCAGCTGAAGGCACAACACGTGGGTGAACTGTAGCGCCACTGAACGCAGTACACTTACCTGTTTGTTGGGAGAATTCCCGGGTAGAAACGGTAACGCCATGGCTGTAACACTTAAAACGTCGGAGCAGCTGCGGACATTCAACGGGCTGTTATTGTTTACCATGGAAACCTTTTTGTTTGGGGACGTCTCCTAGCGACGTTCAGAATGGGGGGGGAGACTTATAAAATATCAACACGTGCACAAAAGAAGAAAATACTAGATGTGTACTAAATGTACTAGTGCTGTAACAAATACAATTTTGAGACGTGTTTTCATTTTGTACCTCTACTCGACTACATTTTACAGGCAAATATTGTACTTTTTAACTGCAGTTATTGTACATTAGTTACTTTGCAGATACAGATTATAAATTCAAAATATAAACCAACAAATAATTATATCATTATAGGTTAAGCTACTCAGGAGTATATGAGGTTATTAAAGTCACCCTCACCTTTACCAGCTGCAACTTTAAAGCAATGTACACAATTCTGAAATGGGCCATTCTGCATTAAGAGTAATGATACTATTTGTGTACTTTTACTTGAATGCAGGGCTCTTACTTAGTTTGTTCACACTTTAATATTGCTATATTTACTAAACACTTGACATGCAATTACTCCAAAGACTCAAGGTTAAGAGGGAAAATACATCGTCATAAAATACATGAGACAAAATTCAACTGATTGTTATTTTTATTTCTTCATCAAACTTACAGTGTAGACAAACCATAGCCTTTGGTATTTAAAGCATCAATGTATTGCTACACAAAATACATAATTTAAAAAAAAATAATAATAAAAAAAAAAAAAGAGATGCAGGGGAGGCAGACATAACCCATCAAACATGTGGCATCTCTCAAAAAAGACATACCAATCACTTATCCATCGGCAAGATGATTGAGTACAATGTCTGGAATTGAAAAATAGAACACGGGCACTGATGGAATCCTGTGGACACCACCTGCCGTGTGAGGGTGAATTTAAATCTACTTGCTCTTAGCTGCATTATGCGCAACAAGGCAGCGATAACGATACTCTTCTTCTTTCATAAATAAATAGAAACATTCCGATAGCCGATTTACACTTCTCTTAAAAATAATTTAGCATGATATGCATCTTTATTTGGCCTGGAAGGTGGAGTATTTTAAGAGGATCTTTCTGGTCTCTCCAAAGGATCGGGTCAACCATCGTGGATCTTGAAGCAGGCCTGACTGCTGAAACATCATCTGAATGAAATAGAAATGCATATGGAGGCAGAGTGCGCGACACGTTTTCCCTACTTTACTTCCAGTGATCAGCACCTCATTACAACCTTTCGGTGTGCGTTACTTTTCCAGAATTCTATCCCAGAAGTCCCACATTATAAATCGACGGTGCTCGTCACGTGTACAGTATTAAAGTAGACAAAAGGAAGTGCAGCTTGTGTAGAAACACAGAGCTACAAGCTAATCTTAAATAGGTTGCTTTGTTGTCGAAACACTTTTAACACCCTCCAGCAATGGTTTATAATGTTTCCCTATAGCTTCTCACAACATTTGAAGGAATACAGACTGTTGTTCTTTGGCAGACCCTAAGACGCCAGGCCGAGCAGGAATCCTCCAATGAAACCACTTGTGACAACAATGTTTTTCTTCACAAAAACTGTGGACTGAAGAAGACAGAAAACGTGTCTCAGTATATAACGTAAATACTGACAGGAAACAAAAAAGAGAACAGGGGTATGCATGCAATGAAATCAAACGGCAGACATTGCGGTTATACAGCAGGAATTTTGACAACAAGGCCACCAGGACGTCCCAACTGTATTCTATATTCCTCAGGCCTGATGACGACGCTCTGAACTCCCTTTGTGCGACAATCAAAACCAACACACTAAAGGTCTTACCTTCTCGACAAATGTGTTGATCTCTGGGCCGGCTTGATTGGTGCCCTTCTTTATCTGCTTCTTAGCTTTGTTTACATCCTTCTCCACTCTCTTCCAGTCCACCTGGATATAGCCACTGTTGTTAGCTATCTGGAGAAAGAGTCGCGGCAAAATTAAACATAGATGCGAGGCAGATTTCACCACAGTGATTTCCTTATGTCTTTATAGTGTCGCAAGAATACCTGCAACAGCAGAAGACCTCCTCCTACAGATGTAGCAGCAACTTTTCCGACCTTCTGGAAGAGATATCCTGCACACCTGAAATGAATCGAGACAGAGAGCATGATGGGTAATCTAACATAATGAATGACTTCAACAGTCTTTAAATAAATCATGAGCATTCTGTTGACCACATAGTCGTACGAATACTGTATACATATCTATATGCAACCCCACCTAAGTTTATATTTTTATGATCTATACTGTTGACTATTTTTGGCATATTAAATATTGTACTTATTTTGGATTGGCACCTTATTGTTAACTTAGACTGGTGCATGTGTGCGCGCTTTAAATTTGCACTCTTCCCACTTTGCATTGCAAATGCTGCACAGCAATTTCCCTCTGGATGAAGGAAGTTTTATCTTATCTCAAAAACTGTAAAGTTTGCATGACAGTGAATGGCCCAACACTTAAAAGTCTACCAGACACATTGTTAAGTATGATGCACACCAAGTGCACAATTATATCATTTAAGGGTAGAAAGGATGGACACAAGGGGGATTTATCTTTCTGAGTTTCAGTAGTAATGAGTGTGGACTGTATATTCCTGCAGCACAAGGCAGACCTCTCCATTCAGACAGAAGGGAGAACAGGCCGATAGAGGAGGGACCAGATGGGGGAAAGATGCATCTGAAAATAATCCAAGGCTCCAGGGACCATGCGTAATACATCATATTTAGCACTTGGCTATGTCCGAGTCAGTCCGAATGATTTTTTTGCAACGTGTATATTAGTGCATAGAAAACCAAGAACGAGAGTAAATGAGGAGCACCTGAAGGCAACACAATGCATTTCTAAAGGAGAATATTTACCATCCACTCACTCCCCCGATGGCTAACTGTGTGGCCACGGAGTACTTCTCCGCTAAGGGGCCGGAGTTTTTCCCGAAGAGGCGGTTCCACCATCGCTGACGTTTGGCGTATTCCGTCAGGTCCACGACCTTCTCGTAAATCTCCTCTTCCAGCTCTTGCAAGGGAAAAATATAAAATATAAACAGACAGAAGCATACATTAGCAACAAATTGAACTTAGCAAAGTTCTGAGGCCTGACAACAAGTTAGCATCACACTGGTCACGCACTGGTAAAGGGTAGTCAGCGGGAGGGAATCGTTAAATAAAGATACCCAAATTGTTAAATGGAAGTTTAAAAGAGCTGCTTCGATTCTCCCACTGCTCAGAATGGACGGATGAAGATCTACTTAGTTTACAGGCCTGCTTACCCTTGTCGCGGTTCGCCATTTTGGAGTGCGATACTGTGTCCTCAGATGCCATCCGGTGGAGGAGGTACCTTCTCTCCACAGATGAAGTGCGCCTCGTCTGGAGAGAAGAGGAGATGACAACGGGGGGGGTTACAGAAATGTTAGATTTAACCTGTAAAACTCATATAAAAGACCCAAGAAGTCACAGAAATTATTCAAAAAATAAATATTATGTTTTACGTGTTTATTTTTTTCTTTCTTTTTTTCACTGCTGCTTGATATATGTGCACTCGTGCTCCAGTTTAAGTACACGGGTTTCTGATTTTATTGTTTTATTCTGTAAATCTTTGAATATGAAAAGAACTTTCCAAGTGCTGTGTACATACAATTATTGCTACTACACTAATTGGCTGCTTATCTCTACTTCCTCAAAGGAAAACCTTAAACCACTTGCCTACAATATTTCTGACAAACAATCACTGCAGGCTCTGGGTGGGAATGAACCTCGTGTGTGTGTGAGCAAACTGATGGGATCCGGTCCCAGAAGAGGACCGTCCTCGTCTGCCTCCCACCACCACTCTGTTGCCGGCAGGTGTCGCTGTTGAAGCATTTTAATCAGAATTTTAATAATGGATTCCAGATTAGAAAAAGATCAACGATATTGAGATTTGTTAATGGTTTAGTTCAACCAACCCTTTACGCTTTTCTATATTTTGAGGCCTTCCTCTTGCTGTCCTTCCTTAGGGTGGGACCTCCTATTTTAATTTAAAGCTAGGGTTGGTAATCTCGCAAGAGGACACTATATATTTTTTAATTATCTGACCCAAAAAACCCAGCCCAGTGTTGCCAACTCTTTCCCAATGAAGTAGCAAGCAGCACTAGCTCCAACAGCGGCTAAATCCAAGTCAGCAACACCGACAGCCCGTCTCTTCAGGCCTCCCTCCAAAGCCAAAATGATGATTATGAAGGTGAACAACAGACATGGCTAGTGTTATTACTCACAGCTGTTAAGATAGCATCATTACATTCATGCTGAAAGTAATCAGTATTACTTTCAGGCTTATTACAGTCCAGCAAAGGCCACAGAAACCAGATATCTGTTTTATGTAAGAGCAGCCATTGCAGTGGGGATGTAATGAGAATTTAAACAAATATAAGAAGAATTTTTCTGAAGCAGAACACCAGCCTTTAATATGATCAATTTTAATGCTAATCAAATGACACAGTCCTCCCTTGGGGTCTTTAACAATCAACAACATTGCGTTTTTCCAATGAGCAATTCCAAATTTCATCTTCAATTCTCTACCCCTGATTATTAGAGATGAACTGTATAGATGCTCTACTGTCTCTGATTAGATTAGTGGCATATTAGATAATAAATTATAAGTAAATAATATAATTAGAAACAAGCTATAGAGATTTTAAAGTTTTGCTCTATGATATAAAATACGTCAGCAGATCGCTTTGTATAGCCCAATATCACAAGACACAAATTTGCTTCGGAGGGCTTCAAAATCTGTCCTGCATACGACATTTTCCATCCCAACAACAACATAATCAAATTTCATCAATCCAATCCATATCCATACCCCTCTCGTGAATTAAAGAGTCTTAAAAAAGGTTGTTGCTAACAAGTGGCTAAATGAGACAACCAAACGTCATCATGCATATCAGTCCTCCCTCACAGCCTCCTTGTGTACTCGTGCTAATACGACCGTGGTGGAGTTCTCTCAAGCCTAACGTTAGATATTTACTTTGGCAAGACGCTTCAAAAATCATAAAAGTGGGGTTCCGTTGTGAAGATTATCTTTGCTAAACAAAAACGCGTGAGTAAACTCGTTTTTGCAACAGAGTTTATTTTCTGCAATATACTGAAATCTGTCGAGGGAACAAGTGCGATGCCAACGTCCGGTGTTGGCTTACAAAAATCCGTCATCCCTGCACTTTATGAAGTCTAACCTTTGGAATTGATTAAAGGTTTCAGAACATCACAGCAAGGAAGAAGCAATATTCTGACATTTGATTTAATGTGCATTAAGTTTGGATAACTTTATATTATAAGTTATATTTCAAAATTAATGTTACTTTGTGTCGGGGACAATAAAAGTGAACATTGTTTGTCACATGTCTTTTCCACCAAACAATGTAATCTCCACCACAACACATATTTTAAAGTCAAATTAATTAACAAAATAACACAGTCACACTTATAATATTTTGTAGTTTTGTGCAGTTATGCATATACAATTAATGTATAGAATTGAAAAACTCATGATTGTACCATGTAAGAAATTAACTGAAAGACTTCACTAAAACAGTTGAAAACTTTCATCCAAATAATGTAAAAATATTATCTGTAAAATTCTGAAAATAAATAAATGTATACATTACATCTGTGTACAATTTTATTCGATATTTTTAAAAACACAATCGTAATTTTGTTTTAAAAACACCTTTGATTGTAGCGTGATGGAAATGACCATTTCCTCTTAATGTTAAAATGACACAAAATTATATTTAATTTGAATTACTTCATCACATCTATCTATCTATCTATCTATCATCTATCTGTGCAACGTTGCAACAAACATACGTGACAGCTATTTTGACCAATAGCTTTGCTTTACAATACAGTTACGTAATCATAATATAACGTGCGGAGCCAATCGCAGGCGTTCGGGGCGGGTCTTGTGAAGCGCATATTGATGTGTGCGTGCGCGTGCTCGTCCGCGTGTTCGCAACACATCAACTGGAGACCGTCACGTGGCGGCACACGCCGGCCACTGATTGGCCAGGGTGAACGGAGGGCGTGTCGACAGCGGCGGCGTGCGTTTGCCTATGTGACACAATTACAACAACTTTGAGCCGATGGTTGGGGAAGTTTGCGACATTACCAAGTAAACCCTCACTCCTAAAACCCAACATTACATCAACTTCATGCATAAATTGGCACTGGAATACACGCTGTGTTTTGATGTACAATGAAGAGTGTGGAAGGTAACTTGAAGGGATCATTTCCTTGAGGATTTTGGCAAGAAGTACCGCTACGCCCCGTTGTAGTCCTGGATAACGTTAAGTGTGCAACACTTTCGTTGTTACTGCGTTTTCCCGGAGTCACTCGGTCCCGTCGATCTTCCCATTTCTTTCCCATGAAATCGTGCGGAGTGTCGCTCACCGCCGCCGCATCTGCTGCCGCCCGGAGCCTCGGCGTTGCTGGTAATGACGAGGAGAAAATGGCGTCGGGAACAGCGACTGATATCGAAGAGGACTTTCCGAAGCTAACAGCGCAAGAAAAAGAGAGCTTGGCCGAAACTGACAGGTTAGACGATCCGCTATGTAAACAGTCTCACCCACTTCTTAATGTTTGGCAATACATGTTTAAATAAACAAATATGATTACCCCCCCCCACCCCCCTCAAGTAACACGGAACCGCCTGTGTGTGTTGTCTGTCCTCTACTTGCAGTTCACTGTTTGGATTTCATAGGCTTCAAGAAGATGGCGCCAGAACGAAGGCCTTGCTGTTAAAGGTATGCCACAGAATAGGAAACACAGTGTCTGCTCCTCTCACGGTTATATCTCCTCTGTTTAGTGCACAACACACCTGAAATAAAGTGGCACAGACCTCCCAACTAGGCAACATTTGCACCGCTAAAGTACAGAATACAAACGGCTCCGCTACATTTCTTGTGATGTTTATCAATATTAAATGAGCCCCAAACGGTACAATTGCAAGACGATATGAATACTATCAACACATATGATATATAAATATGATATCGGTATAAACACAATGGGCCTGCAGAGGCAGGTGTGTGTGTGTGTTGGAGGGGAAAGCACGTTGTTGTTACAACTGTTGTTACATTTGATGTGTAACGTTGGTCGAGCTAAACTAAGCTGATGTTTTAACACCTTGTCACCCAACTGTTATAAGTATGACAACGAGCCTCAGAAGAGGGTGAAAGCACACGTCCTTAACGAGAGGAGAGACATTAAGTTGCTTATAAATAATATAATATCCCACTAAACCCTCCGTCCCATCCTCAATAACGGCAGCTAAGAGTTTGGGTTGTGCGTCAGCTCACTCTCTGGTAGCATGTAGCGGCTAACTGCCACTAGCACACATAGCTACTATATGTGCATCTCATCTGACACTATCGAGGGGGAGAAATATGAACGCAAAACGTGGTAGTTTTAAGGGTTGCATTAAAAAATAAATAATGGCTGGTAGTATTGGCTCCAAGATGGCGGGGGTGGGAAGAAGAAAATACCTAGCAAACGTTATGCTAGCTAACTAGCAGCGGTGGCTAGGCTAATCACCATTTGCAAAAAGCCATATCCCGACGAAGGCGTTCAGTGTTTGAAACAAAGATGACCAATTTTAAAAAGCGGAAGTTAACTAAGTGTGTGTAGCGATAGGTGCACACGCAGCCACCGGGTAGATGCACTCCATGTTACCATGTCTTCAACATGTGGCTTCTGGGTTTCTTATGGAAGGGCTGGCTGGTAACGTTATTTTGTTTCGGATGTACTTCCAGATTAGGCTCAGCCATGCACTCATTTATTGCTGTCAGTGTCCTCCACACTCAGGCCTATCCATATGATAACATCACACCTATAAGATCTGATTGTAGGGGTTGTATTCTTGATAACGTTCACATGTATAAGGCTGTGTGTGTCACATCAAATAATTTTATGGAATAAATCAATATTGATGCCAAGTTCCCTTTACATCCTCTCTCTGGACTCTTCCATTTTAAAATGATGGGGGGGGGGAGGGAGACTATTAGTTCAGCATGAGGTACTGTTTAAACTGATACAGAGTCCACTCGGCTAAAGATAAGGATATTCGTTAATTTAAGTCCCATCCCAATATTGTGCTTTTCACAATTGGAGGATAGGTGTAAGTGTATTGTTTTAATTTGCTGAATCACACTGTCTCCGCAGGGTGTAGCTAACCCTTGTGGCACAATTTATAAGCTTGGCATCATGCCAGCACTTCAGATGTGTGTGTAATAATGCATGGTGGCGATGTGCTGCATGGCATGGACGTGTGTGGAAAAGGCACATGTGTAAATGATTCCTTCTGTGATTGTGAGGATATGAGGTAGAG